AAAGTCTTAAGAACAGACAATGGAGGAGAATATACAAGCAAAGAGATTGAAGACTATCTAAAGGAAGAGGGAATCGAACATCAAACCTCCGTAGCATATTCACCGCAACAGAACGGTAGAGCAGAAAGAAAAAATCGATACTTAATGGAAATGACAAGATGCCTGCTACTCGATTCATGACTCAAAAGAGAATTTTGGGGTGAAGCCGTAATGACGCCACCTATCTACAAAACAGGCTACCATCAAGATCAGTTGAAAAAAACACCATATGAACTATGGAATAATAAGAAGCCGAATCTAAGCCATATCAGAGTTTTCGGCAGCACAGCTTATTGTCGAGTTCCAAAGCAGAAAAGAAGCAAACTAGACGAAAGAGCAGAAAAAGGAATTCTTGTTGGATATAGTGACCGTACTAAAGGATATAGAATTTACCTGCCACATGCAAACAACATCGCGATCAGAAGAAGCGTAATATTCGATGAAAACAAAAAAGAAGAAATGCCTCGTCAATTAAATGATCAGCATGAGGAAATAGAATGGCCTTTTAAAGAAAATAAATTGACAGAACCACGTCCAAATGATATTACAGAGGAAGTAATTGAAACAGAAGAAATTCCCCCATTACCGAGAAGATCCCACAGAACGACTAAAGGAATCCCACCAAACAGATTCTCATACATGGCTAAGAATGAAGAAATCAAAGTTCCTAAAGACTGGGAAGAACTTCAAACTTTTCCTACCAAAGAAAAGGAACTGTGGTTAAAAGCTACGAAAGAAGAAATGGAAGCACTGAAGAGGAACAAAACATGGGAACTAGTCGATCTTCCAAAAGGAAAGAAAGCAATTGGAAAACAAATGGACATTTAAAACAAAATCCGACGCTTCAGGAAATGTTATCAGATATAAAGCTCGTTTAGTAGCTAAAGGATATTGCCAAAAATTTGGGCACGACTACGACGAAACATTCGCACCAGTCGTAAAGTATACAACAATAAGGACTATTTTGGCAATAGCAGCTCAAAAGAAAATGCACGTAAATCACTTCGATGTAAAAACAGCTTTTCTATATGGAGATCTGAAAGAAGATATATATATGAAGCAACCGGAAGGCTACATCTCTGCTTCAGAAGCAAATAAAGTCTGTAAACTAAACTGAATAAAAGTATCTACGGACTAAAACAGGCAGCCAGAAACTGGAATCACAAGATAGCTGAAATCCTGCGCAAACAAGGATACGTTCAAGGAAAGGCTGATCCATGTTCCTTCACACTAATCGAGAAAAACGCAAGAACTTACATAATCGTTTACGTTGATGACATATTAGTCGCGAGCGACAAGTGTGAATCAATTCAAGAAGTTGAACGAATTCTCAAAGAATATTTCGACATTCGAAATCTTGGAGAAGTGTCTACATATCTAGGAATTGAAATCGAAAGAGAAAAAGACGGAAGCTTTAAACTTCATCAAGCTAACAAGATTAAGAGTATGATCGAAAAATTCGACGGAGAGTCACCAAAGAAACTAAGCTATACACCCATGACTACGAATTTTACGAAGAACCAAAACAACCAGGATGACGTTTTTTTCCCGATAAATCGGAAGTATAGGGAAGCAGTGGGAGCACTTTTATATTTAGCAACAGTATCAAGACCTGACATAGCAAATTCTGTTGGAATACTTAGCAGAAAAGTAGAAAATCCATCAACATCGGACTGGAACGGTATCATTAAAATCATACGATATTTGAGAGCGACAATTAATTACAAATTACATCTAAAATCCAATGGTGCACCAGTCATCAAAGCTTACAGTGACGCTGATTGGGCAGGAGATACCTCTGACAGAAAATCCACATCCGGATATATATTTCAAATAGGAAACAGTACGGTATCATGGGGAAGCAAGAAACAAAATTGTGTCGCCCTATCTTCGACAGAAGCCGAATACATCGCTCTAGCCTTAACATTGCAGGAGCTACAATGGATTAGACAACTGATGGGAGATTTAGGTTTCGCTCAACAGGAAGCTAACATCGTATTCGAGGACAATATATCATGCATAAATCTTTCCCGAAAAGAGAAAGGAAGCAGTTACACCAAACACATCGATGTGAAATATCACTACGTATGTGATCTACAAAATCAAGGGATTGTTAAATTAATACACTGCAACAGTAAAATGATGTATGCAGACATGTTCACGAAACCTTTGCCCAGACAACAGCTGGAATTTTTATTAAAAGGAATCGGCCTTACTTCGGACAAAACAGCTCATCGAGTGGGAGATTGTGGAGCAATTCATAACGACAGCGATGAGGCTGTACAACTCCGACGTTAGTTTTCCCCTCAACCCCGCTAACTGTGATTGGACTTGATCCAAAAAAAAAAGGAGAAACATTCTCTCCTTGTATGACTCACTTCTCGCGTTATGCAATGGACAGTAAACAACGCTTGTAATCATCGCTATATTTTTTTCTTCAATACCTAATAAATATGTTATTTTGTGTTTGCTAATATAATGATCGTGTTCCTTACATCGGCAGCTTGGATTACACTTTATTAAAGTAAGAACTTTAATTATATTTTATTCATCTGCTCGTCTCGATTTAGCGAAGTTGTAACAGTAAAATAAAATGAACCACGAATACCTTCAACATATTCTTCTGTCTTAATTCTTCTATCCATTGTCCAGGCTGTAAACTGACTACTGGTCCACAAATCTTCGACTGTTCAACAAGATTAGTCGTCTAGAAAAATCACTCTTGCTTATAACGTTCACTTCTAGCGTTTGTGATTTCTCTCTTTGTTGTTACTCCTCCAAAAAGTGCATGGATTAAAGATTCAGATCCAATTGCGTGGCACCCTATGTCTACAGCAGTCTCCTTTAATATGTATGAACGTTGCGATCCTGTATCGATAAGTGCTCTTACAGTCTTCTGCGTTTTGTTTGCGTCTATATTAATTAATAGTGTTTGAAGAAACACTTCATCTAGGAAATTAGTGCTCGCAAGTGATACGTTTTGTGTTTCCTCTTCTTTATTCTTTTCAACATCATTGCTCTTTTGATTGGTGGGCAAATCCGGACACATGACACCGCAATGTCTTTTCGAGCATATCATACATCGTACATTTGTTGCATACATTGCTTGGCCCTGTGTCCAATTTTGAGGCAGAAGAAGCAACCATTTATTTTCTTAATTTCATCATTCTTTTGGCTCAGAGGCATCTTCTGAGCAACAAAGCAATCTCGACTTTCATGAAATGTTTCACAAAATATGCAAGAATTCTTCTCACTATAATTGGTTGCTTTATTATGGCCTGAGAATAAATCATTTGCTGTAGGCACGAAATGTTCACTCTGGTACCTTTTATCCTTTCTACTTTCTCTCTTGGCACTCGAATCAATTAATTTAAATCCAGCTTTTGCCAAAGAAATTCTCTGCCCTCCTTCCACTTCATTCTTTAAAAACAATAATAATTGTTTCAATTTCTCAGAGTGAGAATTTTCTGCTGTGATTATCGACGCATGATTTTTAAGCCAAACTTGTAAAATTTCCTCTAGAATGCAAGGATTCCTATGAGTGGAAACAGCATTGCAGTGTATTTGTTGCTTGTCATTCCTACTGACTCCAACGAATACGCAAATATGACTATAATTTGTCACACAGTTCTAATACACCTGCATTTTCCCTTTTGATCAGCAACATTTTTAATAATCAAGACCTAATAATTCCCGAACATAAGAATTATAACAACAATTCTTCACTGCTGAACCCTATTTTCTTAAGCTTTTTATTACTTTTTCATAATTTTGGGCAGTTGCAAGGGAAGCTGTTTACAATATCCACGTGGTCTCGTACTGGGTATGGTCGCTTGAATGAGATAATGCATCTTATCCTTCGTTTTTGAATTTCTTTATCTTCACGTATTCGCTGAAATTGTCCCCAAAATGGTAACCAATCGTTAATTATCGCCACCGAATTGTTTTAACTGTCAATTTTAGGCAATTTCCAGTTTCCGTTTATTCAAATTCGGCAGCACACTGCCAATGGATTAGTGTTATTTGGTGATTGAAGAAGTAATTCCGTTTCTACTCGTATTAAATCTAATTTTTCTTTGTATTCTTCAACTTTTGTCCATTCACTTCCAAACTTGATCATTTGAAGAAAATTTTCCGAATTTCAATATTTGAGTATCAAATGCATTAAGTTCAACAGATAAACGTTCTAAAGTAACAAGTTTCGTTTTTACAGAGATTTTGCATCAGGAAATTTCCTTTTCTAATTCTTGCAAAATTGCATTAATTGTTCTCGTAAAAGACGCTCTGACAGGTTTTCGTTTCTCAATTAACGATTCCATTTTAATAAAAATAAATTCAATAAAGTCAAATAGAATTAAATTCGATAAAACCAACAAAATTACCTTGACTTGTTTTACCGATCACTTCCGTCGTCACCAAAATTGTTCGAGATTTGCAAGAACTACCCGTTCTTCTTTCTCCTAATAAACTTAAAATAAAATAACTTTACATATAAAATTCTAAAGCGTCATATTTATTTTCAAAATCCATAAAACTGCAACAAACTACAACAAAGATCAGATGGTTGCCACTCTTACGGTGATAAACTATGTAAAGAAAAATAACAACTGAGGCTGGGTTCTAACACTACCTATAACTCAAAATAAATCAGTCACTAATCACATAACATAATTTTTCTTTTCTTTTTTAAAGCATGTTAATTTAGAGTAAAAAAAGGAATATTAACGTCATATATAAATATTAAATTATATGTTGCCATGTGTTAATAATCAGTCGGAAATTTAAGAGAGTAGAATCGCAGAAAATTTAATTGTATACAAAAATAATTTATTACCAGTACTGTTTCTTAATATTTGATATTTACTCGTTCAATATTTTTTATTATTTTTAATAAGATAATAAATCAATTTAAGGTTGGTTTTAATATTTCGGTAAACTCATCAACGAGTGTTGACAAAACTGCGGTCCTTTGCCAAAATGAAATGTACTATGGCTGATGATGGAGAAGAATTCAATTTATTTAGTGTTGGAACAATAGTAAGTTGTAAAACATGCTTCGGTGAAGAGTTTGAAGGAGAAGTGACTGCTTTTGATTATCAGACAAAAGTGCTGGTTTTGAGTATCCTTTAACTATTGAGTTATTTTCGTGTATAATGTTTCTTCATGCATTCAGGTTTTTGGTAACCGAGTTTTTTTTTTTTTTTTTTTTTTTTTTTTTTTTACTCTGCAGTTATTATTATGTTTAAATTTTAATATCTAGTCTAAAAAAAGCTTTAAAAACTGATTGTAGAAAAGTGTCAAGTTGATAAATATTTGATTGGATACCGAGTTTTATTTTAAAGCTATGTGAAACCATAATATGAGTTAATTGGCTGTAAAATGATTGTTAATTATTATATATCGTATTTGAATATTCATCAATTATGTATGCAAATATTAGTCAGTTTAGCCATTAATTTATACCATCATTTCAGAATTGTACTCGTGCTTTGCTGTAATTGATTAAACAAATTTCATGATCGAGTAATAACAGTTGGAAAAGTAACTTCTAAGCATTCAGTAGTACATTTCGTATTTTACTTTGTATTTTTGGAGTTGCATGAACTATGAAACTTAACGATATATCTAGAATGTCCAAGCAAATCCGGCAAAGCCAATCTTCAAGATATACGGATGATAAATTTGGATTATGTTGAAGATGTTGTTATCAAGAAAGAGGTTACAACACCTGCTAATGGAACACAGACTCTTATGCCATTAAATATAGAAAAGGTAATACTTTATGATTATATAAGTGTTTGACTCCGTAGCATTATATTTTACTGCATGCATAAATATATTGCTTTATTTTTTGCGGCAGTTATAACTGCATGAAAAATCTTCAGTCTGCTTTTATGCGTAATATATTATTTCATTTCATGGGAATTAGCATGGCTTCTAGTTTTCTGGCAGTATACTGTAATCATGAAAAATGTGAATGTTTTGTTTTTATGACTTTTCAGACAGCAAAAATATTGAGAAAGGCGTCCCCTTTCTCAATATTTTTACTGTCCTGTCTTAAATTTTGGAGAAGGATTAAGAAAAAATAGAAGAGAGCTTTGCATTGTTTAGTGGGTTACTTATTAGCAAGTTATCTCCTCGAAAAATAAACGAACTAATTAATAAATAAAAAAGGCACTGTTATTAAAGCTCTGTTATTGGTAGTAAAGAACGTTACTATCAATAAAAGTCTCATTATTGGTTAATATATTACTTTACCTACATTATTCTAAACATTTGAGCAAGATGCTTTATCTTGGTGTCAGTAATCCCAAATCAAAATCGAGTTTTGGAAACAACACCAAGTGTTGTGAAAAAGAATTGTATGTAGTACATTTGCAAATTGAGGAAAAATTTCATTAAGCATAGGTAAAACATTTCATCAGTTACTTCTATGATCAAGGATAACTTTTCTTTGATTTTAGCATTAATCATAAAAAGTAGTATTAGAACTCAATTCAGGATATTCAAATGTATGTGTAGTAGCCAGAGTTTTCATTTAATTGGATGTTATATAGTTGTTTTTTTGTCATTGTATATGGATAAAACTGTGATATGTCTTAAACTGGTAGCATATCTTCTACCTATCCTCAATGTGCCAAAAGAAGCATTTTCATAAATTTTCATTTTGGGGATATCTGATTGGTCGACTTATGCAAAAACCAGTTCTTTGAAAATAAGTTATGAGAGACACAGCTTTAAGTGAACTATTTTGATCTCTGTTGCAAAGCTAGCCGGGACATCAGTTTCAGTGAAACATGTTTTGGCTAGCAACCCTCCAGTGTTAGTAGGGAGAAGTCTGTTTCTAAAAAAACTTCTAGTCTCATGCATTGCTAGATTTTTTAACCCCATTATGTTATTGGTGTGTTAGGTAATTCTTTTATCTTGGACAACACAAAATATTTTAGTGGAGAGTAGTAGCTTACAAAAAGCTGATACCTAGCTTTTGATTGTTTTTAGCTGTGGGAATTTAGAACATTAAAGGGTGAGATGCATTTCAATTGCAGCAAAACGTTTTGAAGACAATCTTTCAGCTTGCAGAACTTTTTAATGGTACATTACATACGTACACGTTTTTAAGAAGCAATTATCAGAAGAATGATAAAAACCTTTGCAATTATGAATAACTCTTTAAGTCCTTATTTTTTCTATTGGTTATAAAATGTAATATATGTTTGTTATCGTCATTTTTCCAGCAACTTTGCTGGGTATAAGTAGGATTTGAAATGTTAGATGTTTCGGCTGCATCCACCTTGTAGCTTAAATGTCCTAATGCTGTTGTCGTAAGTTGTAAACATCATAGTAATATTGCATACAGCCAGTCAGAGAAGTATCTTACATGTACAGATAGTGTTGTTTACACAATTTTAGAACAATTATGGGGCCATGTAATTAATGTTTAAAGAAAATTTTTTAAATGTCCAATCTGATAGCCATTTTTTTCGATTATTAGTTTGCATCAGGATTTCTATGGCTTTTCATAAAATTTCCTAGTATTATGCTTTCCATTCCTCTTCTGCTTTCCAGAGTCTATAAATCATGGTGGGTTTACACTTAAAAAAAAAAAAAAAAAAAAAAAGAATTTTTGAGACCAAAGGTAAAATAGTCTATAGCTGAAATTTCAGAAGACTTCACCGAAATGCATTGAAAAGGTATTTATGCAATATGAGTCTTCATTTTTTCCATGGAGCAGTGCTACTTTTGAAAATATGACTTGTTTTTCCACTCCTCCTATTTTATAATTTCCTATTATAGGAGAATCTTGCAATAATCATAAACCACTTAAAGAAACCTTCTTTGCATTGACAGAACCAGGTTTGTAAATTTTTTTCCCCCCTTCAATTTTCATAATAAATAGACTTTTTTGTTGCAATCACTTAGGTAAATGCATGCTTCTTCAAGGGTCACAATGTATTTCCATTTATCTTCTGCTGAAGAGTTTTTGGCTAATCTTTGGAATATTGTAGGTAACAGGTAGTTTGGCGACATTTTGGTAAGGCAATAAAAATTACTAGCTAGAACTTTAGCAGTGCAGTGTACATGGATAAAGTCGAGTGTGCACAATGCCATTTTTGTGCAATTCTGGGATGTTTTTTTAAGTGAAAAATAGGTCGACGTATACATGGTTACCATGTATGTGCAATTCTTAAAAACGCGCCAAACAGATTGCGATTCTGCACTTACTCCCAATTTCGCACCTAATCTTCGTCATGATTAAGCATTTCTGTTCCATAAAAGTTCTAGCATAAGCGTAATTCGGCTAGCAGATTGTTGGAAAAAAATTTTGAGAGGGGAAAAAAAAAAAAAAAAACATGCCTTCACTTCATGAAAACAAAATGGCATCCAAATAAAAACTAACAGGTGGCTGTAGCAGTTTTGGTCGCCAAAATATCGCCAAGTTACCATAACCCAAAGATTAACCGAGTTTTCTTGCAGGGTTGTACAAATTCTTTTGTGTTGAGCCACATGCCATAGCAAAAACTGGCAAACATTATGTTATTTAGTTGTAAATCTTAATTTATTATTTTATTTGTTATTGCTCCAGATGTGCTTTGCAACATTGTGGAATTTCTGCATCCTCAGATTTTCTCTTGTAACCAACAATTGAACTTAAGAAGCAATAGAAATGGTATATACCTTTTTTAGTTACTGGTTTGAAGATTTTCATGTAGAAGGGATGGTTGATGCTTTTCCCCTTTCCAATTAATGGTGTTGCTTAAGTTAGACTTGAAATTTTTAATACCTTAAATTCTTTATTGGCTGATCTTTAGAATATGGTAACTGGTAGTTTGGCGACATTTTGGAGGCGATAAAGGTTACTACCTGGGACTTTGGTAATAAGTGAGCAGTACTCAGTTCTGATACGCATTATTTTTGGTGAGGGAAATGAGATCTGGGGATATGTCATGTGATATTATGGACGAATACGGTTCTTAATCGGAAAGGGGGAAATCGGGAAAAAGTCTGGAAATTTTTGTATTTGACTTTATTCTGTGTTGTGTGAAACAGCGTTCGTTAAATTTTGGATCCCATGGCCTTAACTAAAGTGAATTCGAAATGGGATATAATGGATTGAAAGGGTAGTAATAAGTGTTTCTTAAAGGTTGTGCGAGATAGAAGTAAAGATGTTTTATTAATTATTTATTTACCTGGTACCTTGCTGTGACTATAATTATGATTTTAAAGATCTTGAAAGAAATAAGAAATTTTATCGGACACATAATCAAGATTTGAGAAGATTAGGTAAGTTAGTTAGAATATTCATATTGGAAAGGGTATATACTTTTTCGTTATTAGGTAATTTATATGTTCTTTTTTTACCGGGTTTAAAGATTCAGAAAATTGTCATGTATTTTCGTGAAATTTTTCTAATTTATGAGAAAAAAGCAGTGTACAGGGATATAGTGAAGAGTGTGCGCAATGCCATTTTGTGTAATTCTGGGATGTTTTTTTAAGTAAAATAAGTCGATTGTACATGGTTTATGTGTATGTGTTATTTTGAAAAACCCGTAAGGAGTATGATATTGTGCACTTTTTCCCAATTTTGCAGTGAATATTTCTCATGATTAAGCGGTTTTGTTAGATAAAATTTCTAGCATAAGTGTAATTCGGCTAGTAGATTGTTGGAAGAAGTGTTCAGTAGATAAAAAGAAAAGAAACATGTCTTTACTTCGTGAAGACAAAATGGCGGCGGAAAAAAAAATAGAGGGTTGCTGTAGGAGAGTTGGTCAGCAAATTTTCGCCAAAAAATCGCCAAGTTACCATAATGTAAAGATCAACCTCTTTATCTAAATCATTTTAAAAATGTTTAAACACCATCTGTATATAATCCTGCACAAATTTTGAGCAAATTCTTAGTTGTGGAGAATGTACTTCATTGTAAATATAATTTGCCTTGAAGTTCACTGTGCAAAAAAAAAGGGGGGCAGGAAACAGTTTTATGTCTTTTGTTCTACTGGGCCATTTGACGAAATTTAACTTGCGTTTTTCATGTCTCTAAAGCACGACTTAAAATATATATTAGATTTATATATAGCATTGTTTTAGGTATTTTGACACAGAATCACACTTTTTCTGAAATAAAATACCAGTTTTTTCCGTATTTCTAGTCTATGACTCAAATTACGCCAAACTACCAAGCTTTGTAAAAATAGCACTAGTAGTTATTAAAAAAATTAGGTCTCAAAATGTTATCTCCTCAATGATATTTGAGTTTGGTATATATTTATTAATCTCTCTTTTTACTTCTTTGTACGAAGTAAAAAGGAAGTATTGTAATCGCGAAAAGTTTTAGACAGCATGTTTCAACGAAAATATCCATTTTGATCGCTTTCGAATGAAATTTAACGATGTTTTTGCATGATATCTGTACATAAGGACAGAATAAGACTCTTTTCCTCCAAAAAAATTATAAAACTGCTTTAAAAGGAATTCTGAAGAGAATTTTTCATGCCGTCTGTACGAACGTATGTACGTACGTACGTATCTCGCATAACTCAAAAACCAGTAGCCTCAGAACATTGAAATTTTGTATATAGGACTACTATAACATGTAGATGTGTACCTTGTATTTTGGTTGCAATCAGCCGCACCAAACATATGTAAATATATTTATATATATCCACTCTGTTACCTGGCTCAGTGATCTCAGTTTCTTTACTCTTATACGTTTGTAAATTGTACATTTTTTGCTATAAAAATGATTCAATTATGTTGTTCTTATCTTCCAGTTA